AGCCCGAGATTGGCTTTTTTTTCACTCACCATAATCCCCTTGAGATCCATCCAAGCTGCTGCCTGTTAGAAAGGTCTTTTTTTTTTTTATAGTCAGGCTATAGTTTATTACAGCAAAGGGATAAAAAGCAGGATCAATAAAGGAAAAAGGTACATCAGGCAGAAGCTGGAGGATACCAGGTATAAGCTTCCAAGAGTCCTCTCCCAGTGGAGTCACACAGGACATACTAAATCCCCCAGCAATGAACTGCAGAAACACATGCAAAATGTTTTCTTCCAGGGATGTCTGCTTGAGCCTAAGAGTCCAGGGTTTTTGTTGGGGTAACTGCAGTGGTAACTGCAGTTACTGAAACTTCAGACCCTCCAGAAGGAAAGCAGGTGTTCACCATAAATCACATTTTTTACACAAACTATCCACACAAGCTGGTATAATGTGGTTCAAGACCTCAAACATGCACAGTGCCCTAATCAGTTAGTAGCATAGGGAACATTCTAAGACCTCAGTTCCTAGGAGCCAGCCAAAGGCTAGTCATACAAGTAGGCCCTTCTGAGAATGTACAAGATTTGAGTAACTCAAGGCTGCTGGGTTAATTATTTACTTCACAGATAGGAATCAAATCATCGTGAATTTAATGTGCTATATATATATATGATAAAGCAGTACATTATAAAATACATACATTAAATTATAATTAAATGTAAATAAATATATCATAAATGCTATAGGACATATCATACATATGATAAGCAGTACATTAAATGCAAGGTATTATTATTATTACAAATGAGTAATGAGGGCTAGAGCTGTCCTAGGGTGTGACTGAGCAGAGTAATAATGGACATTTGCGAGGCAACTCCTCAGAGCACTGAATGGGAGGCTGTGAAAAAAATCCCACTGAAGAGTTTTTCTCTCTGATAGAGATAATTTTGTCACTAGAACCATTTTGTCCCTCTCCAGTTTGACACCATACATTCTTATCATTAGCTACGTATTTCTTGGGGGGGGCATGCACAAGCTAAATTGTTCCACCACCCACCATGGAGTTTTGGCAAGGATGTGACCCTTCCAAGGAAGGTGCAGAATTGAGCCTCTGGAAAAAGGCATAGACAGGTGCTTCCTAACAAACTCTGAGCAAGGCTCAGTAAAAGACTGTGATTAGTAATATGATGACTAATACCAACAGTGAATTTGAGTCTGAACTGAATTGAGATGAATTTATGTGAACCTGAATACTGTGGGAATATCATTTTGAGCTAAATGCTGGACTAGATGCCCAGCCAAACCCTGATCTTTTTTTTCCAAAAAAAATATGCCCTCTAAGGATGAAGAAAAAGACTATGGAAATGAAACTTGGGCACTGTGCATTAGAATGATTTCCTTGTGGAGAGGGGAGGAGGAGGGTCATCCTGAGGAGGCACACTTACCCATGCCTAAAACTGCCGAAAGCATTTACCAAGGGATAGTCTGTATTATCTGAACCCAGTTGGTGGTGGCAGCCAGTAGACTGGAGAGCAACTTGGGGGAGGGTGGATCTTACAGATGGACAACAAGCCTCCTGATGGAGCTTTGGTGAGAGAGTATTTTAGCTGCTGTCAGGCTCCTCCCCTGCTTTATACCTGCGTAGCTGCTGTAGTTCCCCCCACCAACTGCCCAAGAGGGGGACCTGAGGCAGTTGCCCTTATTCTGCATATAAGATAAAACCAGCTCATTTGTATTGCTGGTATATTCTTAGAAAGGTCATTTTTGATGATGATAAAATACCTTTAACCAGAGTACCACCAAGGAGCTCCCTGTTTGGTGATTTTCCATTTTTTTTACTATCCACCAACAAAGGAAACCTTGTGTCCTTTGTGTGGAAACTGTATCAGTAACTCCAAATATGCAAAATCTCCCTAACACCCTCATAGATAGGACAGTATTCTATGGTGGTAAACAAAAGATAAGTTTGTAAATTCAGATGTGGTCTATTGACCTTCTCAGATCCAAAGTTTCAGGAAGGAAAAAAAGATTTCCTCATCCTGTTGAAGTGTGCACACTGCCAAGACACTGGTTCTGTTTCTTGGGTCTCCACTGATTCTTAAAGTGATCAGTAGAGAAGCGCTCTGGGATTCTCTAAAGGTTTCCTTTTATCCAGAGCCATGATGGCCATTTTGCCCATGGACCCCAAATTGCCTCCCAGAAGACAGATCTCAATTCTGCTGCCCTTGAGGGAGGATCTCTTTTATGAAAACCTGCTTCTCTGGAGAATTCTGAGAAATGGTAATTTCTGAACATCCCACCCTCACTGACCACATTTCCATTATAATCATTGTGAGGTTATCTTTCAAAGATGCAGGAATGAAACCAGAAGTTATATGAAAGCTATGTCTTTTAGAATAAACCAAATGTGTGTAAAAACTGTCCCAAAGGCTTGAGACAAGAGTGACTGACAGTGTGGGATGACAATAATGACCCTCACAACATAGCCCTTCTGTTTGCAAAGGACTTTCAACACCTTGTGACACTGGCCCTTATCCGCTGCTGGGAGAGGCAGGAAGGGGTCGTGGCCCCATTCTCTCCAGAAGGCACCTGACAAAGACCTGTCTGTGAGTTAATGACCAGGGTGATATGCCTGGTGTGCAGGACTCCTCACTTGACTGTGCTATAGCCCCCGATGCTCATTCAGAGGAGCCACACACATACACATGTGCAGAGCCAGGAGACAAGGGCTTCCCATTGTTTCTTTGAATTAAAAAAAAAAAAAATTAGTTGCCATGAATTTGTAAAGCTTGAGGGAAGATCTTCTCAAGTGAATGAACACAGACTGTAATGCCCGCTGCTCAGAATGCCCTCCCCAGCTTTCCCACCAATGCCTAACAGAGCCAGGCACGAATACATTCTCAATGAATGTTTACTGAATGGCTGAATGAGACATGCTAGCAAAACTAAGACTCAGTCTAGACCCACTCCTTATTATAACACAGCTCACAAAAGCCCACTGGTATTGTGTGTGGAAAAAAACATGGAGCAAAGTTTGAAATGGGCCAGTTGCTACCATACTGCTTTAGTGTATATCCTACTGGAGATCTTGTCACACAACTGAAGGACAGACTAACAGGGTAACACCACAGTGTACACCTGTCTGGTAAGACCTGCTGGGCAGGGACAGGACCCTGGAGACAGAAGACCCTCTCTGCCACCCTCCCAAATCCTGGCCCTAAAACACAGAGACTGGAGGGGCAATGCAAGGAAGGAGTTTCTGAAAACCCCATTTACATCAGTCCCTCCTGGGAGAAATGAAATGAAGGAGGCAGACAGATAATGTGGGACAAAAAAGGACGATAAAAGGGAGAGATCTGTATATTCTAGGGTCAGAGTAAACACTTTTATTATAAATTAGATAAGTTTTGCTTTAAAAGAAGGGAAGACTAGGAAAGAATTAACAGTGTGCCATTTAAAAGACTTAATGATCACAATGATCACCAATGCTAAATGAAAGAGGCATGTTTCCTGCCTAAGGAGATAATGAAAGGCTACATAATCTAATATGATATGGCAGTAGCCTGGCAGGGCCTAATACCACCCACCCTTTAGGGCATTCTGGCTATTCAGCAAAGGATGGGTGAACGTCTTGTCCTGTATAGTCTGTTCTAAAGCACAGAAGCAACTCAATTCACTTGGTGACGTCAGCAAAACCCTTATTCCCAAACCTGACAATGGCTACTAAGAAAAAACTGGTGTCTCTTAGGCGTATAATTGCAAAATTCTAAATAAAACACTAGCAAATAGAATTTAACAGTATGTTAAAGGTTTACTACCCCATGGTTAAGGTAAATTTATCCCACAATTGATTGCTATTAGGCAATCAATTAATTGGACGTAGGTCATGACAACAGGGCAAAGGGGAAAATTAAAAGCAAAGGATACAACACCATAACAATTGAAGAATGGATGTTAAGTAAAATCTACCTCCCAATTCCTAAGACGAGTTCTGGTAAACAAGGTTAGAAGGCCACTTCCTTAACATGACAGGGAATATCTACTGTAAACCAACAGCCAACACCATACCTAACAGGGAAGTGTTCCATTTAAATCTGGAAATGAAACAAGATTGGCTGTTGCCAGTATTCTTTAACATTACATACGGTTTTCTAAGCAGTATATTAAAGAAAGTAAACAGATACAAGGGCATTACTATCAGAAAGGAGAAAACTTAACCTTATTTGCTGATCATAGACTCCTGGAAAATCCAAGAGGATTCTACCCCTTAAATGAAGGAGGAGAGATTGGTAGGGAATCTGGTTAGAAAATAAGGAAGTAAATTAATATTAAAAATTATATGCCAGATATTACCAGTCAAAAATTATTAAAGAAAAAAGATTCCAGTCACAATAACAAAAATAAAATGAAATGTGGCAAGATTACTTGAGAATAATCTTAAGAAATGTGTGGGACCTACATGAAGAAAATTACAAAACTTGCCTAGGCACGAGGGAAGTCTTGAATGAATGGAGAGACAGATCATGTTTTGGAATGGAAGCCTAGATGCAGTAAAAATGTGAAACTTTCCCAAGTTAATTCTAGGTTTAACCAAATCTCAATCAAAATCTCAAGGAGATTTTGGGAGAACTTAACAGAACTATGCCAGAGTTCTACTGAGAAGAATAAACAGGTGAGAAGAGCTAAAATAATTATGAAAAAGAAATGAATGCTACTTCTCAGAGGCCCCCAGATAAAAGCATGATGTAAACACAGCATCCCTAGGCTGCCTGGCTTCTGCAAGCTCCTTTGAAACATCCACAGAAGTCACAGGAGACCTCTGAACACAAGGTCTGGAGAACGGGGCCCAGAATAACCATCAAGTCCTCCTGCACAGCACCTTCTCACTTCATTCCCATTTCCACAGAGAGGTCCCAAGTGCAGATGCCAAACGCTGGACCCCTCGGCTGAATAATGCTCAACAAGAGGCTGGAGCACATGCTGCTCAGTAGTAACTGGTCAAGCAAGGCCTCCCCACCTACCTGCCCAGAGCTCCGAGGTTATGTGAGGGGCCATGGGAGCAGCCATCACCATCAGGGCGCAGAGAGCATCCTCAAACTCAGGGCTGTGGAGAACAACTCTCTGAGAAGCTTGCTGAGGAACAGAAAACAATAGCAATGTAAGAACACTGAGGTGTACAAGATAAGCCTGGGTAAGAAAGGCCATGAATGTATGTGAAATCCAGAGACACAAACAGGCAGGAAGAAACCCTCTTCAACATCATTTTTGCTCTGGGCAAAGAACTTTCCCCATTTAATCATAGTATTAAAAATAGCTGGAGCAGCAACAGCAGATATATTACTATTTGTCTTTTTGGCCGTGCTGCGCGGCTTGCAGGATTTTAGTTTCCTGGACCAGGGATCGAACCCGTGCCCCCTGCAATGGAAGCGCAGAGCCCTAACCACTGGACCGTCAGGGAATTCCTGAGGAGATATACTGTTGACTGAGCATTTAACCACGCCCACGGTCTGATGCTAACGCATTTGGTTTTTACTACCCTTTGAGGGCAGTATTGTTACCCCATTTGACAGATAAAGCAGCTAAGGGTTAGAGTGGGAGAGTCATCTGTCCCTGCGTACACGGTTAACCAAGAGATGGAGACCAGATTAGAATCCAGGTCGGTCCTAATTCTTAACCACTCAGCTATGTTTCCTATGTGCCCAGAACTAGTGGGAAATACAGACACTAGCTCAAAGGTTCTGCAATGTGGAACCTCCAGGACAGGGGTCCTCTTGCGCCCCTCAGGGAGCTCAGGGTTCCCCATTCTTCGACAGTTCCTACAAACACTCAGTGTCTTCCTGAGGTGTGGCTAATCAGTTAACTCAGTCACACCCATTCACTTTATGGGGCACCTACTATACACCAGACTTCAGAGATAAAACGTCCAGAAAGGCATAGTCTCTGCCCTCAAGGAGCTGCAGGCCACCTCACCACATGACTGGAAGCCACGCTCCCTCCTCGGTTACCAGCAAATGAGCACAGACGGGCCACCTACCGAGAGGGCACTGCTGAGTCCCATCAGTTGAGAAATCGCAGAATTCAGTGAGAAGTCCTCTGTGAAATGGGCAGTCACCTATTCGTAAAAAGTTGAATTATTCACTTTGTTCAAATTTCCTTTAAGCTTTCCATAAAAAAACTAAATTATCCAAAAAATGTGAAACTAAATGCATGCAATAAAATATATTTATAAATGTATTCACTATCTTAAATAGTCCCTTTATGTTTAGTCAGCGCAAAAATTTTTTTTTTTTTTTTGCTGTACGCGGGCCTCTCACTGTTGTGGCCTCTCTCGCTGCAGAGCAACAGGCTCTGGACGCGCAGGCTCAGCGGCCATGGCTCACGGGCCCAGCCGCTCCGTGGCATGTGGGATCTTCCCGGACCGGGGCACGAACCCGTGTCCCCTGCATCAGCAGGCGGACTCTCAACCACTGCGCCACCAGGGAACCCCAGCACAAAGATTTTTAAAATCAAAGTCAACGTTGTTTCCACCACTCAAGACTGTTACTCTTCCCCCATATTTGGGACAGTGTTGGTTCCCATAGTAGGTGCCTAAGAAAACACTGATCATTACCTGAAAAGGAGGCAGGACCCATTTGATGAGCAAACATCAAAACGATAGTAAACAGGAGATGGGATAAAGGATGTCACCTCTCTGTGGTTACATGACTTCAATTCACAGTGAAGATTATTGGTATACGGGATAAGGTTAGTTTTACATTTTTAAACATGGAGTCAACACAAGAACACAAATACGATTTGTCAGCTTTTTCCTGTTGGTGCTTTTCAATTTTGACCATGGGCAAAGATATAGAAAAATAACACATCCTTAAGATGTCCAGAGTTTCCAACTTGTTGAAATAACCCAATTCCATTATCTGACAGAAGAGAAGAGTTTGCCAAATCCAAAGAGAAAATATGGGGTACGAAAACGATCATTCAGGCATCACTCAGATCACTAAATTCAATTCCGTGAGCTCTGTTTCTCTGCACTATAGTAGAGAGGATGAAAATAAAGCTGAAGAAGTGTCAATAAATGAGACCATGCTGGACCCAGGGCCACTGCAGGTTATACAAACCAGAGGAAAAGCCCTGCTCCTTCAATGTAATCAGTTGCCAGAGTCCAGCGAAGTGACCTTGGCTAACTTTCTAAGCTTGAATCAGCACAACTTAAAAAAAAAATTCAGCCTAAGGAGAATTTGGGGTATCTGGTACCCATTAAAAAATGGCTTCAGATTTCCTAAGGGCCTTCTTTCAAAGATATATGACATTTTTTCACAAAGTTCTTAAAAAAGGTGAATGTCATGGTATTACAGCAGACCTCTAGATGAACAATTTAAAGGGATGCTATCAATGAAGAATCTTTTAAAATGATTTAGACAATAATATACTATTCTCTAAGAAGATAAAGTGAACAATTATTTTACCTGTAAAATTTAACCCACAATAACTCACGTGAACATTGTGTAACAAAGTACCTGAGTGGGATAGTACTCGCTATTCTGAGTATCAGGGAACTCTGCTCTATTCCTCACTGGTTGTGTGACTTTCATAAGACATTTATTAACCTCTCTGTGTCTCAGCTCTGCCCACAGATGGGATGATGAGGAGGCTAAAGAAGAGAGTCTTTTCCAGCCCCTTTCAACTCTAAAATTCTGTTTCTGTTTTTATAACATATACAGTGTGTCATCAGTATGATATTAAATTTGGTTCTCTACCTGGATGTGTTAAATATGGAAACATGGAAAGTGGGCAGCTTCTTGAGATCCAGGATGGATAAATGGGAGGCACCATTAGTGGGAGCCATTTCCTGAGAGCATCTCTGTTCATGACAACGTTTGCACTGTTGCTCCACCTTGGTGAAATACCCAAAGCAGTAAGATCAATTAATCAAGGCAAGTGGGCCACCATAATAAGAAAGGAGGAAGACCCAGAGTGCTCACCCCAAGGCAGGGTGAGCCACACAGATCATGAGGGCTCAGTTACAGAATCAACCAGTGTCCCCTGGAAGGTTTCTGACCTGAGAGATGATGGAGTTCTTGTACTCCCACAGCTTCCTGCCCTCGGCTTTCTCCTCGTTACTCAACAGCTGAGGCCTGGGAACCTTCCCAGAAACCCTGGCCTCGATGAATCGAGTTGCCAAGGACCAGAGACGCTGCTGCCATCTCAGCACCCCAGGGAGAGCGTCGGCTGAGTGTAATGTCAGTGAATGAGAGAGAGAAAGAGAGACATGTGAGAATGATTGGTTTGGTTATACCTAAGTGACAAAGCACCTGTGAATGAAGAGACACTTCATTGTGCCCGGTGGATCTCTCCAAGGGCACGGAGAAGGGTCCTTCCTGGCTTCCAGTGTCTGGGAACTCAGACCAGGACTGACTCTATCATTTCTTAGAGCTCCAAATATTCAGAGTACAGGATGGCAGGCCTACACAAAGGGTTTCCACCAACTGTCACTGGCCCACAACGAGCTTAGAAGCTTGGGCCAGGATGTGCATCAGGGCACTGCCTCCTTGGTTAAGAAATCTTGCTGTGACAAAAGTGTCCTCGGAACTAACAGTGTGCTTGGAGACAGGGTTGACTTACACTGGTGCAGATGCCCCATCTCACGTGGACAGGTAACATGCAGAGGTGGCAGTGGTCCACAGACCGCACTCTGAGCTGCAGTGCTGCACAGCCTGAGGTGTTTTAACACAACTCCTGTCCTCGCCAGATCCGTGTGTATCACATATTTCAGATGTGTTCATCAAATCAGCTGTTAATCTGATCTGGAGAAGTTGAACAGCTTCACCTGGTGGCCCTGGTCACACGGCTAACCAAATTAGGGCCAGTTCAGGTCTTTTACACTTCAGCCACTGGACTAGACATTCTCAAGCCTGGATGCACAGCAGGATCTTCTGGAAGGCTTGTTAGAGACAGATTCCTGGAGCTGGTCCCACAGGGAGGGCTGGGGAGCCAGAACCTGGGCCTGAGTGTCCCCAGGGATTCTAGTTCCAGGACTGGCATCTGTGACCACTGCTCCAGACCACACTTCTCACTAGAAATGGTGTGTTGAACTGAACGGTGATTCCAGGCATCTGATTTCTTTTTCCCATAACACTTGGATAAGACCACATGAAGGAAAACTGAATTACTGATTACTGTTGGACAGCTTATTCTAGGATATCCAGATACCTGAGATTATTCTACCTCACACCATTTTAGGTCTAAACAACTTTGGAGGGAAGAACCTCCCCTGCGGGGGCCTCTGAAGACTACTGTGGGTGACTGAAGAGGTCACAGGTAACATCAGGACCAGGCCCCACGCGGGGTTTTCTGGACTGGTGACAGGCAATGACACCATTCTAGAAAAAACCTTTCAGGTTAGACCAAAAGGGGACTGGCCTCTGTGGACCACAGTGGGCCCAGGAGTACCACAAACGCCAGTCTGGCTCAAGGAAACGTTTTCAAAGTGGGATCCTCGAAGAACCTGCATGAGAACGCCACAGACTCACTGAAGGCAGGCTCCGGGGCCCTGGCCTGGGGGCTGGGTCAGCAGGGCTGTGGTGAGGACTGGGAGTCTGCAGTCACAGCAAGCGCCCCCAAAGGTTGGACGCTCATTACATCTGAGAAAACTGGCCTAGGAATGGCACAGGATGTTGGGCAAACTGCTACTTGCCTCACAGAGCTGATTCCTAGAACCCTACTATTGACTCAGCAAAGACATTTCCTTCCTTGAATTCCTTTGGCACCGAGGCGGTTCACAGAGGAGGCAGGCTGGGAAGAGGAAGGTGACTTACTTTTTACATCCCACAAGATATCCTTCTCAGGAGGGGCGGCGAAAAGGATGTAGAGCCGGATGGTGTCAATGCCGTACTGCTCCACAACGGCCTCGGGGTCCACGCCATTGTGCTTGGATTTGCTCATTTTCTCCCAAGTCACCTCTAACTTCTCCCTCGTGTTTGCATGAACAGGAACAGAACCTAGACACCAGAAAATTGCAACAGTAGGGGATGTGTGATGCCGAATTGGTTCTGTGACAGTATATTCAATAAGAAAATACTGGGTGAGCAATTATAAGTGTCAATTTAAAGAATGCCACTAATTCATTTAACATGACTCGTTCTCTCCCTCTAGACATCATAAAAATGTTTTTGTTTTCAAATGAGTGAGGCCCACCTCCCATAACAAACCTTCCTTTTTCTCAATCACAAAACAACACAAAGTAATTTCCCTTTTTTTTTTTTTGCGGTACGCGGGCCTCTCACTGCCGTGGCCTCTCCCGCTGCGGAGCACAGGCTCCGGACGCACAGGCTCAGCGGCCATGGCTCACGGGCCCAGCCGCTCCACGGCATGTGGGATCCTCCCGGACCGGGGCATGAACCCGCGTCCCCCGCATCGGCAGGCGGACCCTCAACCACTGCGTCACCAGGGAAGCCCAATTTCCCTTTTTTAAAAAAAGTAAATTACTTATATGCAACAAGGAAAGTGAAAAAGGATAAGGAAGACTCGCATATTGCTCTTCTCTTTATGGATTCAGGGTCTCCTTTGGAAACTGGCAGATGACCAGTCAGGGTCTCCAAGCAGCAAAGCACCTGAGAGGTCACTTCACCTGGGGGCTAGTTCCCCCGTCCGTGTTGAAGTCACCAGAACATGATCTCGCAGCATCGAAGCCCATGCGTGGAGTTAGCTTGCTGGGCTCACAGTAAACGCGGTGTCCCGTTTTGCAGCCCTGTTCTCTGTCTCCTTTCCACCCACACACCATCGGTCCAGACGGTGCTGATGGAGGAGGCCTTCCATGGCCATGTTTGGAGGAGGTGACCTTGCTGCCAAGCTCCAGTGGCTGGGACCAGGAAGGACATCTGAGAAGGCTAAGCTTCCTTCTCAGGAATTGGAACTAAGAGACAGAAACTCTGTCTCAATGGTGTTGGGCACTGGAACCAGAAGGTCCTAAGGAGCTGGGCCAAGACGTGGCTCTGCGGCTGCCAAAGGTCACTCTGTAAACTGAAATTAGGGAGAGCAGAATCCAAGCCTGGCGGAGGAAGGAGAACATGGCAGAAGAACAGAGAGGGGCAGGGAGAGGAACTGGAGGCTCAAGAAAGACAGAGGAGAGAGGAGTGGCCCGGCGGCTTCCTACATGTTGTACTTCCTGCGGCTGGGTTTGGGCGATGTCCCTATATCCCTGTGCGAAACCTGCCTTTGCGTGGATTTCTGTTCCTTCCAGCTAAATACTCCCTCTAACAGCAACCAAACTCACTCCCCAGCGTATATACCTACAAGCCAACTCCATATTTCATGAGAGGCACACCCACTAAGTAGACAGATGCCTGCCCTTGCTGATCCACGTCCATATTCTCCCCCTGGGGGCAAGTCTGCGTGGGAAGGGAAAAGATGTTCACAACAATGCTTGACCCCGTGACATCAGAGCAAAGGGAGACTGAAGTCCTGGAAGATGTTTCATCCAAGCTGTGGTGAGGATCAGGGAACCACTGCCCCCTCTACCCCACACCCCAGTCCAGGCTGCAGCAAGCCTTTATAACACTGTTGTGAAAATTAGGAAAAAGGCATCTTTCTGGGCAGAGAAATTGAGAAGTTAGAAAAAGGTGCCCTCTCTTGGCAGATGTGGCCCTGAGGCGTATAGTTGGGTGAGTAGCTGGATCTCGGGCCCTGCTCACCCCCTCAGCCGGCTGCCTTCGTACATTGCACAGACTGCACAGTCATACGTAGTAGCCCTGCCCATGACACAGACAGCCCTTCACCAACAGCGAAAAGTTATGTGTCCCCTGGATTTAGCTCCTTTCCCTCTGGCAAGTGTTGGAGAAACACTGCCAATTTCTGCTTCTCCAGCTTCCTTTTCTCCCAAGGACCATGGTGACCCTTCCAAACCCTGAGGAATTACTGCTTTAACTAGGTAATCCCATTGCCTGCTTCCACCTAAACCTTCTCTCTAGTGTTCGGCTTGGGAGCCTGCCTACCATTTAAGGGGTTGTGGGGTTTACCTAATTTCATCCATTAAGCATGAGTTATTCTAATTTTAACTGCCAGAGTTTCTCACAGCCACCTCCCAATTTTCTGACACGTCATTTATTTGTATGCTGGGTGCACGTGATACACCCTCATCATGCCACCTAGAGATCTTTGAGGATGAGTGAAAACACAGGGTGGTAGGAAAAGGCTCGGGAAAGCTGGGAGAAGGGGAAGTCCAGGGGGTCAGGGGGAGGAATTCCACCAGGGGGCCCAAGTAGACTGGTGGCCCCTGACGTTCTGAAATGCCCCTCTAGACCACGTGGGGAGATGTGCCGAGAATGCCCCAGTCTTACAAGAATGTCTCTTGGGTCTGGGGGCTCTGTTCCTGAGATGGGCTGTCAAACACAGGCTAGGACAGGAGGTGATGCCAGAGTTGACTCCATGTTATATACAAAAGAAAACACTTCCAGAAACTGAACTGACACTTGAGCTGGATGGGATGGGGCTGAGGGCAGCCAGCCTCAGCCTCAGAGGGCATCAGCCCAGAGCCAGCTGAGGCTTTGAGACCATGAGGCTAAAGGGTCACTCGCCTAGATTCCTGCCCAGCCAGGGCCTGGCAGCGTTCGCCTGCTTGGTTTTCTGTGAGCACCTGGATGGGACTAGATGGGCCATTCTTACCTGTGAGATCTACTTCCTCTCGCTGTAGATACTGTCCAGATGGTAGGCGGAACGTCTGCCCCTTGACAAGGCCTTGGGCCAGCAGTTTATGAAAAGGCTCTCTGAGGAAAGATAACAAAAAAAGAAAACTGGTGGGGCAGGGATTCAAAGCATCCAGAAAACAGCAGTACAAACCTTACCAGCTGATGAGCAGAGATAACTGCCCTGCATGAAAACTGGCTGACCAATGCCACTTGTAAATCCAACTTGAACAAATGGCTCCTTACAAATAAGTAATAAGGAAATTAAGTCAAATCAGAAGAAGTTAACTACTTTCCAATGTGGCAAAGTGGAAAGAACATCAGGCCTCACGTCTGGAAGGCCTGGATCTGAATCTCTGTTCTGCTTCTCAAAGACTTTTATGAGCCCAGACAAGTCACTTACTCTGAGCATCAGTCTGCTCCTCTGTAAAATGGGGATTTAAAAAACCTGCCTCAAAGGGTTGTTGGGAGAATTAAATGAAATGACTGCATGAAGATACTTGTAAATTTTAAAGGTCTGTACAAATGTCAGTTATGCTGAGCCCGGAGTAATGAAGGGCTCAGGAGGATGTAGACAGGTTTACGTTGGGGTTTTGCTCGTTAAGATTACTCTTCCCTTAACTTTTATACAGTGCCTGCTTACATTCTTTTTAAAATTTTAAAATCGTACAAATTATATATGAATATGCCCTTTCTCTTCAAATTCAAACACCCCTGCCCCCGCCTTCCCAGGCCTATTCCCCTCTGATGAGGCAGTTACTATCAGTCCATACAGATCTATTTCCTTTTTTTTTTTGGCTGCTCCAAGAGGCTTTCAGCATCTTATTTCCACAACCAGGAATTGAACTCGGGGCCCCAGCACTGAAAGCACAGAGACCTAACCAGTGGACAGCCACGGAATTCCCCAGATATATTTCATTTTTAAACATCTATCGAGCATTTTCCATATTGGTGGCTTACAATTTATTTATAGTGCCTATTTTTTTTTTTTAATAGTGCCTATTTTTTTAAAAATCTGTTTTAGGGCTTCCCTGGTGGCGCAGTGGTTGAGAGTCTGCCTGCCGATGCAGGGGACACGGGGTCGTGCCCCGGTCCGGGAAGATCCCACATGCCATGGAGCAGCTGGGCCTGTGAGCCATGGCCGCTGAGCCTGTGCTCCGCAATGGGAGGGGCCGCAGCAGTGAGAGGCCCGCGTACCGCAAAAAAAAAAAAAAAAAATAGCTGTTTTAGTCACACCCTTACTGGCTGAATAATGAACTATAGATGTTTTCTCTTAAGAGGACAAGAAGGGGTTGACCCTCCTACTGAAATTACTTTGTCTCAGATTTGAAATTGTTACTCAGTTTTGAAGCATGTGAGCAAGAGCTATTCCAAACTCCAAGTATTTGTGGAAACCTCTGCTGAGAGCATGTGCCGTATTTCACTCTTACAAAGCAGAATGTAGGAACGTCTGAATGAGGGGACAGATTGATGTTTTCCACCAATATCACCCCCAGCATGACGAGCCTATCGATGTACAAACCCTCGGGTGCTTCAAGCTCACTTACATGGAATGGCTTTTATTTAGAGGCTCAAAAACCCAATAACCTCAAAGAGGCCAAGCCGACCACAAACCCAGCTCTAGTGTTGGAGGTAGAGGGCGCTGTCTTTGTTAATTTAACAGGATCTCATTTCACACTCGAGGCTCATGTAGATGAACCCTGATACAAGGTAAGGCCGCTGGACAGGCCTCTGATTTGTACACTGTGCAGCCCCTGTCACAGCAGCTGTGTGGACAGAGGCAGTATAAAGGAAACTTTCTAGTGGATTCAGAGGGACAAAGTGGAACAAAGAGGCTTACTGGGAAAAAGATGAAGGTCAGCTAGAAAAAAAGGACTCCTGCCCTTCGTATTTTAAAATCTTGTTATGAGCGTATGTATGTATGCATGTGTGCATGTGTGAGTTTGGTGGTATGTGTGTGTGGGGGGGGTATTTTCCAACGTGGAAAAGACCCATATATTTGACATCAAATGGAAATGTAACACGTATTTTTGAAGCCTCAAATTATTCAGTGTCACAGGGCCCATCCAGCATGGTACTGTGTTAATTTGGAAGAAATTTCACATGTGCATACGCATAAAAATAGTCACCCCATTGTTCCGGCTCTAAGATCTATCTTAATAATAACCTCTTTTGAGTCATAAAACTGCCTTCCTTCCACCTCCAAGAAATTCCACCAGCAATGTCACCATTGGCAGAATGACATCCTTTTGTGCCACATCCCAGCAAGATTCCCAGAAAATGTGAGTGATGGAAAGATATGAAAAATGATTTAAAAATACAATGAACTTGGATCTCATGATGCATTTTAATACAGAAGCACCTTGAAGGGGGAGCAATGGTGTCTGGGGTCCCTGTTTCTCAGGAACACTGGCACAGACTCCGCGGGAACCTTGTGTCCTCGGGCCACATGAGCCGTATCCAGGGTAGGTTGGGGTTTTGATGCCCGAGGACCCAGATCGGCATTTTCCTCAGGAAGCTCAGGGAATTGTACCCACAGACCAAGCATGCAGTTCTCTACCATCAGTCCCATCTACCTTCCTGGCCTCTCCTCTCACATCTAAATGCCCCTGCTCCTCACAGAGGTCACAAGGACACTTGACCATTCCCAGAATGTGCTGTGCTTCCTAGGATTCAGCAGGAATGCCCACCTCAGCCTGGGTTCCTGGGGAAACCTGGACCCAACCTTTACCACTGAGCTCAGGCATCCCCTTCTCCGGTGGCTGTCCCTGTACCCTGCACACAGTCCCCTTCACGCAGCTCCGAACCCTCCTTTGTGCCCTGCCACGTCCAGCACACCCTGCCGTGAAGAGCATGACCAGGTTGCCCTGTGATTACAACATAAATACCCGTCCGCCCCCCGCCCTACCCCCACCGTGGCAAGGAGCATTCTCTTGTCCTTCCCTCTATCCCCAGCGCTTAGCACTGTACTCAACAGACAACATGCTCTTTAAACATGTTCAAAACATGGATGGATGGATGAACAAATGCGAATGAACAGACAGATGGCGGGATGGAAGGAGGAAGACACGGGATGTTTGGGGCTGCCAGCTCCTGAAGCCATCTTTGCCTTCTATCCAATCTGAGGTGGCACCTGGATTTTAACCTCATTACAGAAACAATACAACACAGTTTTAAAACAGAAGGAGAAAATTGTATGGCTACGTTTCATTGGGCAGATGAAGAGACTGATTACAAAGCAAACTGCACAAGTGTTCTACGCAGAAGGGATGCCTCCCCAACCCGCAGTGGCCATCAGTGGCTCGACGGGACTGATTTCTCACACGCCCAGGATGCACGTTTTTGAGCACTAGCTTATCTTTCAAGAATCTTCCTCAAATAATTTTACATGCTGCTGCCTAACACAAAAGAGACAGACTGCAACCTTGTCCCTGCTGTGCTCAGTGGCAGGAGGATGAATTTGCTGTTACCGTCTTAGGCTCTAGTGTCCCTGTACCAGTTTTTGAGGTTTTTCCTCTCTTTTCTCACTTTGAGTACATGGCTTTGGTCACTCTCAAGAGAAAGAAAAAAGATGTCTTTGGGATGGAAGGAGGGAGGGAATAATCTGGATCCCAAAGATAAAAGACCAGTAGGATGATCAAAATCAGTAGCGTTAAGCCTCCAGAAGGGGCGGGGTCAGAAACAAGGAGCTTGTTCTCCAGTCTTGCAGGTTATCAAGTGGCGCAATGCTTCCCCCTTCTGGGAATGGACAGAATTGCAACCTGCTGGAATCTTGACCCTAACTCTAGCCTTTCCGCCTAAGGCTGCACTTCTCAGACCTCATCTTTTACAACTCTCTCTTCTTTTGTTTTTTGTTTTTTTGTTTTTGTTTTTGTTTTTGTTTGCGGTATGTGGGCCTCTAACTGTTGTGACCTTTCCCGTTGTGGAGCACAGGCTCCGGATGCACAGGCTCAACGGCCATGGCTCACGGGCCCAGCCGCTCTGCAGCATGTGGGATCTTCCCAGACCGGGGCACGAACCTGTGTCCCCTGCATCGGCAGGCGGACTCTCAACCACTGCGCCACCAGGGAAGCCCACAACTCTCTCTTTTTTAAAAGTAAACTTTTAAATGAGGTAAAGCACACATACTGAAAAGCATATAATTCCTACGGGTAAAACTTGAGGAATTTTCACAACATAAACACACCTGTGTAACCAGTACCCAGGTCAAAGATCAGAATGTGACCTACTTTCTGAAGGCCCCCTCCTCCCACTTCTAGGCAACACCTCCCCACCATGGGCACCACCAGCCTGGCTGCTAACACCATAGGTCAGTTCTGCCTGTTTCAAAACCACTTCTAAGCCTTTCAGAATGAGGGATCTCAGGGGAGCGTCCACACTGGAGGCCTTCTCCAGAATGGCAGGCGTACCCTTCTCACACAGCAGCACACCCAAAACAAGGCCTGCCAGTTAAACGAATAAATCTTAATTTCCAAAAGTTAGCAACAACACAACTTGATAGCTGAGGCTCATCTGGGCTACCTTCTTCTTCCAAGGCTGAAGCACTACAGGGCTGGCTGGAAGTGTCATCTAGTGTAGGGATGGCAAGACTGGCCCAGTGCCCCTCCCGCCCCATCACTGATCCATGGCAGCACTTCCTGGTGGACTCAGGCCGAGGCTCAGAATTCTTGGTATCATGTCCTCAGAAAGCAGAGTTACGCCGTGAAATCTATCATTTATTTATTCGGCAGGTATTTATTGAGTGCTGACTATGATTCCGTCACTGAGCCAGGCATTAGGGATGTCATGGTGGGCAAATCAATTACTGCCCTCAGGGAGCCAGCCTGTCTGCTATCACTGAACCAAACCAATGCCTGACCACCTCAGAGCTGGGAAGGAGGAACAGAGAGTCCAGTCAGATCTGAAGATCAACTCCCGCCACATCAAGTCCAAACTGCCGGCTTGGCCATCGGACTTCTATCCCTCCCTTTTCGCTTCCTTTGCTCTTTCTACATGTTGCCCATATGCGTTTCCATGTCCTCACTCACACACTGTTCCCTGAAGTGCTATCAAAACTGCCCATTTGTCAAAACTCTACTCCC